AAAAAAGTAATTTTCATATGAATGAATGAATGTATCCCTAAACAATATACTGTTTTGCTTGGTTCTGAGTTTTATAAAAACACCATTTATAAAGTACATAGTCTTCTGCAACATCCTTTCCACTACGTATAATGTTCAAAGGTCCACCCATGTTGACGGAGTCACTGTACTGTTGCATCTGCACTGTTGTGTGTTCCATTGTAAATATGCACAGTTTATTTATCAGCTCTTCTGTCAGGAACATTTGGGTTGTTTTCAGTCTATGGCAGGTGGGTAACAGGTGGCATGGAACAGCAGGGAGGTGGGGGGAATCGGGCAGTGTCTCCAGTGGACGGGGCTCCAAACCCAAAGAGACTGCCCCTGGGGCTGGGCACCAGGCAGCAGGATTTCCAGGCAGGCTGGTGGAACCCTTAGGAGGGGAATTCAAGTGGTGATCAGTACCAGCAGGGGATAATTGTCATCCAGAGATCTGTCCTTAGGCACCTGGACCCCGGGCCTTTGGTTCCCAGGCAGGATGTCCAGCTCAGCCATTGGGTAGGTAGTCTAAAACATTAGAAAGGGTAAATGGGCAGAACTTAGAGGTAGGACCAGAGAAAACAAGTCCTGACCCGGGCCATCCAAATGTTAGGGCAAAGGATAGAGTTGCAACGTGGACACATCAAGGGGTCATCCCAGGGGAGTGTGTGGTTGTATTTGGTTGACAGTGACAGCTATTCCAGGAGTATCATGTGGGCCCTGCATGCGTGGCCAAGCCACAGGACCCTGGCATGGTCAGAGTGGCAGGGTGGAGGGCCAGGATGGCTATTTTGATACTTGTCTTGCTGTGGACAGGCGGCATGAGGCAGCCACCAGGGTGGAACCAGGGGCCCAAGGCTGCGGGGAACTGGAGGGCAGATGGGGAGGGAGCCTCTGGGTTGGACGGATCATGTCTAGTGAATGCAACCACAGCCTTGTGACCGTTTTCCACTGCCTGACCATGCTGACTACTTCCAGCATTTGTCCGGGCTGCAAGGAGGAGTACAGGGCTGGGAGTCAAGCCCAGGGAAAAGCTCTGTGTGTGACCATGAGCAGGTTTCCTCACCACCCTGAGCCTCGGTCTCTTTCTCTGCAGTCACCTGCACTCACTTCCCCCCTGCCTGTTTAGGAGTATCGGCAAGCAACAGAGGTGAAAACACTTTGACAAGGCATACAGAGTGTTAGCTCTTTGGATTTGTTTTACCACACATTTCAGACACACAGTGATTGAGAGAAAAGATAGTACCCTTTTCTCCCTGGAGTCCCCTCCTACTTTTTAAAATTCTTATTAGTTTGGGTATCAAACACCTGAACTGAATTGGGACCCAAAGATTAAGGGACACGGTATGGTTCTGCCATCAACTTGCTGTGTGATCTTGCATGCACACTCAACTTCTCAGTGCCTCAGTTTCCTCCCCCATGTCCCAGTGTTGTTGTCCACCTCCAGTGAGACGAAGACTATGAAGGGCTTTGCAAACTGTAATGTTCTGCTCAGATATATTAAATCCTTTGCTGTGTAGTCCCTCTCACTTGTAGCTTGGGCCTGGTGCAGATTGCAGGATTCCAGAACATAAACTCTAGCCAACAAAATTACATTTATCTTAAACATGGGACTCTGACCCCTTTCCAATCATAGCCACAATAACTACTTGGGAAATTGCTATGGCCTGGAGCAGCTGCTGGCACTGCTTGGGCTGTGGGCAGGTTTCCTGTAATCTGTTGCCTAGGAACGCGGCTGCCCTGTCATTCCAGTCTGTCCCCTGTCATTGCCTAGGCAGCCCCCAGCAACATACCCTCATGTCAGTCTTCTTGAGGGCAGTGGGGTGACCCCGACTTAAACAGCAATGTCAATCTGGGTGTAGATGACTCACATGGCAGAAATACACATGCAGAGGAAAGGTTTCCAGCTCAGCATTCCAGAACATTTTTTCCCAATTCCATTGGTCTGTATCTTGTACCCCCTGTGTCTAACTCTCTCCTCAGCTGGTGATCCTTTCCCTCAGATGTCTGGAAGGGTCACCTTTCCTAAATCTTACAATGTTTCTCTTTTTTCTTTGTTCTTTTGACCTTCTCCTGACCCTTCAGGCCAGACGCCACAAGGGGAGGAGACCACAAAGCAGCGCAGTGGTCAAGGGCTTGGGTTTTGTTCTCAGACACCCTGGGTTTGAGATAATCTCAGCTCCTCCTGCAGCAACTCCAGCTGGTGAGCTTGGCAAGTTAACCTTTCTTAGCCTCAGTTTCCTTATCTGCAAATAGAGATCATATTT